CATACGAACCACCCAAGTAGTAAATGTAAAAATTTGGGTTCTTAGTTTCGACGCTTGCAACCCCTGGGAAGATCTAGCAGAGTCTGATAGGAGTCCATCTTCAATGAGCCTCAATATTCGCTTGGGGTCTGCAGTAGCTTTGATGGACTTCCCCAGAAAGACGAGGAGCTTCACTTGGAGTGGAGAGCGCGCGGGAGGAGAACCATCGGAGCCAAAATACAAATCATACAATTCCTGCACAACATGAGGATTCTCAATATCCGCAGTAAATCGCTTCAGAGTCTCATCCCCCAGATCAGCAAGGCGGGAGTTGGCATCAGCAGAAGCGATCAGTGAAGGCAGGAATCGTTGTGGATCCTTAAAAGCACCGCTTCCGATGAATCGAAGGGCGGTGACTTTTGTCTCGGTGAGGTTCAAGCCACCATCGGTAGAAGGGTTCCATGTCTCGTTTGCGGGGGCACCCTTGTTTAAGAAGCTATACTCGTCTGGAGATAGACCGGGACATGTTGAAGTTTCCTTGGGGCCAGGGGTAAGAAGTAACAATTTCGCCAGCCAGAAGGACAAGAATTGGGAGTCTTCGTCTGAGAGACCGAGTCGGGCTTTCAGGTGCTGATCTTCTTCACTCCCCTTATCTGGCAGCTTGAGAAGTGGCAATAGACGCAAAACCAGATTAAATACGATAGCACCCTGAGTGGGTGACGTCCCGATCTTCGAGATACCCTGGAGCAAGGGCAATAGGATTTCGACTCTGGCTTCGGAGCCGAGGCGATCAATACCTTGCTGAGCATAGATGAGATCAAAATGTCTGATCAATTGAGAGTTTTGCTCCTTGAATTGCTTCAACAATGCTGCCACGGGCAGCTGAATAGAGGGGGTTTTGACTCGGGTGTTGATGTGCTGGCAGACCGAGATGATTTTGTTGCGCACCTCCACGCTCTCTGACCCAAGCTTCAGCAACAAGGGAGGCAGATATGTTCCAAGTAGTGACTGCAGTTTCTCATCTGTGTCTGCCATGGCAATTCTGAATTCCACCTTACCTATCAGACTCAACTCGCGAGCCTCAGGACTCTGTGAGTCCGCCATGATGAAAGTTTTTTGGAACGGCGTGATTTCTAACGGAGCATTAGATTGGCACAATGGAAAAGACACCAAGAACCGACTTATAAATGAATCGATAATATAGGCAACCGCACTCACGTCATCGCCATTCAGGTGAACAGTATGGGGGGCACCTGCCCAGGTGGTCCATTGATTAGTCAGTCTCTGATTAGTCACTTTTCTTGGCATCCCGAGTTCTATCTCTGGCAGGTGCGATCCCAAACGAGGTCAAGGTACTCCATAGATGAGTCGACAATAAAAAAAGACGGACGGGATGATCAAGTGAGCATTGAGTCTACATCACAAAGCAGATCAAGTTCTAAATTACAGTAAATATCCGTGTCTCAACCCGCCATTCTTTGCTCAGCAGCTTCGCCTCTCAAGAACCGACCAACCTCCCTTTCTGCCTCAGCTGAGGCATTAGTGCCATCTTTCTGCTTGGTATTTCCAAACAGACATTGCCAAAGGTCGTCTTTCTTCACCGTCTCTCCACCTTCGGAGCCGCGTTGCATTAGTGTCGTGAGAGTGGCATCTTGTAGTTCCATCGAGTTGGCAGATTCAATAGCCGCTTCAGTGACACCGTCGTCGACAGGAGATGTCAAAAGGGCTGTTTTGACTTGCTTCTCTTTCTCCGTGATGTGAGCCAGACGTCGAGTTACTGAGATCTCATAGATGGATTCTTCCACCGTGCCGGAGACAAGGTACATCCATACGGTTGTTGGTCGATGTTGCCCAATACGATGCACTCGAGCAATGACCTGGAGCTCGATTGCCGTGTTGATGAGAGGCTCACATAGAAAAATATGAGTGGCGACGGTCAAATTCAGTCCAGATGCCTGTGCTTTGCCATGCAAACAGAAGCACTCAATCTAGATTATAAATCGTCAGCGTATTTCATTCCAATGAGGGATGGTTCCGGGCGACTTACAGCCGGGTCTGATTTGAACTTCTCAATACCACCCGGAGAGTCGATAGTGGTGCTGGATATTTCAAGGGATTTGAATACAGCCTGTAATGAAGACAAAAAGGATCCGTATTGAGAGAAAATGATTGACTTTGCGCCAGGGTCGTGTTCCCGCAGCCATAGGATGTGTCGGACCAAAGTATCAATCTTTGACCCGTAAGATTCCTCCAAGTCAATGTTCTTGATCTCATTGAGATGACCAGAGCTGATGTCACTGTAAATCGCATTCTGGGAATGACCTTCGTGGCTCAATTTGACAGGTGTCTTTTCCTCCTGTACAACTAGCTCCTGTGGCTTGTATGTGATCGGATGGAAATCATTACGCTTCAACTTCCTCTTGCACATTGGGCAATTTTGGTGTGCAGTCCACCATAATCGCAAGCAGTCTTTACAGTACTTGTGACCACACACAGTCAAAACACCTGTATGAAATGTCAGTCCGCGTCTAAAAGATACATCCAGAGAAAGCAATACTCACCAACTTCGAAGCTCGATTGGCATACAATGCACTCTCGAGGGTTACTGCCCGAGCTAGAATCATCTCTTAGGTGAATGAGATATCTTGCTTTGGACTTGAGAGAGGCAATCTTTCCTTCAGTCAGTTCCTCTTGCTTCACCCTTAGGGTAAAAGCGGATTCATCTAGCGGCTTGCCTGCACTTTCCTCGTCATATGGGGCCACCGTATCCGAAATCTGCTGCAGGTGACGATAGTACTCCAGCCGATTGTTCATGGTGTCGCGGAAACTTTCAACTTCTCTGCTCAGTCTGGTCGATACTTTCAGTTGCTCCGCGATCATTTGACCGGCATTTTTCAGGACCATTTCGACGATCTCATGTTCAGCACGAGCACGCGAATTTCCTGAGCCGGCTTGCCACTCCAACGACGCCACGAGGCTGCGAAGCTCACTGACAATGCCGCGGAGCGATCCAAGATTCGAATCAGGCTTAAGCTGACTGCGAGTTTCCATGATCTTGAGAAATAGCTGCGGAGAGGGCCCCTCACCTCTTTCGGCCTGGAAGACTCCGGCTTTGGCTTCGTGGGAAATGAGTGTGTTCTTGTAACCCGTGAGAGCGTCATAACGGTCGCTGTGTATTGACCTCAAAGCCTCCATGTAGACATACATCTCATCTTGATGTTTTGTTGACCGCTCATACTCATCGCCCTCCAGCTTTGCTTCTTCTTCCTGGTCAATGAGTGACTGTGAGAGCAATTTGACCATGACATCCCGCCATTCCTTGTATTGCTCGGCATGCTTGTTCAGAGCGTCACAGAAATCTTCAAATTTGCTGAGCAGATTGTACGACTCGACTCCTTTGCTGTAGAGATGGGGATCCATTTTTGGGATGTCCACGAATTCTTTGTCTCGTGCCTTAATCTTGATTTTTCTCATGTAGCGCTCCACTTTCCGGGAAACGTCAGTCAACATCTCTTTGCGAATGACTTTTGCGGCCTCGTAGGCCTCCTCTTCGCGTTTCTCAAGCGCTTTAAACTCATCTGAATCTGGCTGGGTCAGATTTGGATCGCTCTTGATTTGGTAATATGCGTTCGCAGTGAAGAACACTGCAATATGCTGGATCTCGAGTGCCGCTCGAAGCTTCAGTCGACACTGACCGAGGCGGCTGTTATTGTCTGCCTCTTCATCCTCTTCGTCCTCTTCATCCTCATCATCCTCGCCATCCGCGTTGATAAGTCCCAGAGTAGCCCTGTCATTATCACCGATAGCGCCTTTGGTCTTCAGTACGCGTAATTGCTCTCTGCTGTCTTCAACCAGTTGAGTGGCATGATCCAATACTTTCTGCCAAAGAACGAGGGCTTCTTGGCGGCGTTTGGCATTTTCTAGAAGCTGGCCTCGTCGAAGTTGAGATAGAAGGAGAGATCGTTCTTCCGTACGTATAGCTGCGTCGTTGGCATCAGTCATGGCTTCCAGAACTTGGCCCACAGTCTGCAAATGACCAGAGCCTGGACCTAGGGTTTTGCGAAAGCGGACGTTGGGACGAAGGCACGTTTCACGGAGTCTTGTCAACCAAGTACGCATTTTTTCGACAATTACAAGATCTTCGGGGTCCCAGTCGCCTCGAAGGGGAGCTCCTGAGGCGGTCAAACCGCATTCTTCACACATTTGCTCAAACAGCTGACCGTATTTCTGTTCTTCGATAGCTGTGAAGGGGGTAGTGATAACAATGCGCTTTTGAGGTGGTAGGCGAAGCTCATCCAATAACTGACCTTTCCTGTGCCGAAGAGCGATTGTGTTTATGATTTTTGCCAAGACTGGCCCAAAACACAGACACAATCTTCTCCACAAAGGGGCTGAAAAGCAGAACGGCTCATAATGGAGAAAAAGGAGAAGACCAAACAGGTCGTCTATATTTCTGCGCAGCGGGGTACCGGTCACAGCCCAAGCAATCTCTCGAGGGATGAGGCGAGCTACTTTCGCTGCATTGCTGACTCCACTCTCAATCATCTGGGCTTCATCAAGACATACACGCCACCATGAAAGGCGAACGAGTGGTGTCCTCCTCAGTGCAAATCGCTTTTCGTGTCGTAGAGCTCGCTGGGGACCCCCACCCGTATAGTGAATTTCTTTCGCGATGACATTGTAGGTGGTCAGAACAACATCGAACTCGGCAAGCTCATCGACAATCATGTCATCGGTTGCTTGTCCCGAACGTTTGATGCCATTGTAATGATGAACACGCAGAGTGGGGGCATGCTCTTTCAACTCTTGCTTCCATTGTTCAAGAATCGAGGGTGGTGTGATAATCAAAGTGCCGCCAGTAGGTCTCAACCCGTCGGGATCAGTCTTGGTTTGCGGTTCTTCTCGCTTATTCAGACTTATCAACGCAATCACTTCGACTGTCTTGCCCAAGCCCATCTCCTCTGCAAGTATTCCGCCTTTCAGATTATCTGCGGCATCGTACCACTCAGAGAGATCCGTTGTTAGAACCATGAAAAGATGACTGAAGTAGTAGGTCCGTCCATCGGCATCTCCAGTGGATTTGAAAGACGCTGGAACGTCGCCTTTGGGAAGTTCTCCCATAGGCATAATTTCGCCATTTGGCCCGGCTTCTCTCCCTTCTCTTTGTAAGAGCCAGCGAAGAGCTCTTTGCTGGAACGGGAATAGCTTGCATTTTAAATCAGGGCATTTGATATTCGAACTGTGGCTGACCTTGGGAACGTGAACATTCTTGTAGAAATCCCGGGGAGACCATTCTTTGGGGGTTCCCAGCATTTTATCACGATATTCGCGCGGGTCGGTCAATGCTGATGGGCGAACGCATTTTTCCTGCAGCACATATCTTGTAAAGACTTCCAGATCTGCTTCCCCCAAGCGGTTCGAATCTGGGACCTCAATAGAATCCTTCCAAAGAACAACCGTCTCGAGAGTAAAACCTGCTCCATCTGGTAAGGCACAAAGGTGCGCTTGGTAGCAGGCTGTAGGCACCCTCTTGGAGAACTGGTCCACGTGAGCAAGCTTACTGGCGGCCTGAAGTTGCCCAAGGAAATCGAACAGCCGCGGATCCTCGCATGGATATATCAGCAATTCCTTTTCGTCGAGACTAGATAGTTCCAGTTCCATACGATTAGGGCCGCTATCAGCCGAGTCTGGTTGCGGCGTGTTGTTCGGATCTTCACCAAGAAAATGAACGCTGCGCACATCTATGAATATAGGAACCCGGGTGGTGGGGAGGTTTGGGTCGTAAGGCCTTTGGTATTTGTGCGTGTTCGTATTCGAGGGCTTCTGAGGTGGGTAACGGATCAGTGGTTTTGCTTTAGAGCGGGACACAAGTGGCAACTTACTATGCGCATTGTCAACCTTGCTAATGGAATGTAGCCCAAAGGCACTCCTGCCCTTGATACCCCATTTTCTTGTGTCAGACTCCTTGCGCCCCGTTTGGTAGTCTTGCGCCGCTTGGTGGGACGGTCATCGCATTGCTGGAAGATTGAGTCCAGAGAGTGGAGAGTCGCATCTAGAATAACGACGGATATCAGTGCTTCAAATTCGTCAACACAATCAGCAACAAAAGTCATTTACCTGGTAATGTGATATCTTCTACCACCACACTCATTTTGAAAACCACTGCCTATCCCGTCGCCACAATGGAGAGTTAACAAGAAGAGAGAATGCGCCTCCGAAAGATGGGGCTGTCATCTTATCGCACTGGTCACGGGAAGATAAGACAGGGCTGATCCATGGGTACTTCTTATCGTCCCGAGGTCGGCTAAATGCAGCTCCACTCAACTTGGTATACTATCAAGACGACAACAGCTCATGTTTCAATGCGTCCAGTTGTCTGTAATCCAATCTATCGACTGGAGCTTTTACTGTTTATCTAATCTGATAATAGCTACATATCAATGTCCCTTTCTCTGATAATTATATGATGATTTACTATGTAAACATATCTATCCAAGGTTCTAGGTGGAGACATGCTTTAGAACCATAGTACCTCACCCAGTGGCAATATCAAGTTTTCGCTTTCGCGAACCGAACTTGTGAATTCATAACAAGGAGATACACAAGCAGGAGATACACAAGCATGCCTCTGATTTATGCCAAATTCTTCTACTAGAATTACAAAAGAACCATAATATCTTCAAGAAAGAGACAACCTCTCAATTCCAGCAAGAAAGACCTCAAAAAGCCCCAACCTTGTCATCCTGGCAAAACGGACATGCAGTAAAGTACTCTGCCAACCCGACCTGGATTTGCCATTTCGCAAAACAAGACAGACAAGAGAAAGACTGAACGAGACGAACTCTCGTAGATGCAGACTGAGGCAACCACCTGTGCGAAAGCAGCACAAGATCGGTAGCAAGCCCGGGAGTCTCTTCAATTAGTTTCTCGAATGCCTTCCTATCGCGCAGCTCCTTCCTATGCTTCTGACAAACCGCGACGACGACATCCCGGAGACCCCGATCCGACTTTGGTGTTGTTTTGTATGCTTCACAAGCCGCAGTCAAGAATTCGTCCGAGTTCCAGTGGTCTTGGGCGAGGGTGACGAAGGTTAGTTTTGCTTGGATTTTGAGATATTCCACCTCGAATTTGTCGGCAATTGCGTATACCTTGACATTGAACAAAATGGGGCACATTTGATGGGATTGGTTGATGTCGTAATGTAGTCCGTAGAACGAGCGTATCATGGCTTCCACGACTCGTGGATGTTCGTCCTTCATTTCCAACACATGAGCCTTTTCGCTTTCCTGCAACTGTCGAACGTCAAAGTCAGCTGAGCCTGTGGATAGTAAAGAGCATGAGTTTTGGGGAGACCTACACTGGGGACATCAGAGAAGAACCTGCAAAAAGTTTCAGATCGGCCGCAGACTACGAGTCTGTGCACCTTCAAGGCTTGGTCTGTGGTGTGAATTGTGAGGTCTGAGAAGATTCCTGTGTGGTAAAGCCTGTCTCTCGTCAGTTGCCTTGTTCATACTGTGTAGACCCAAGTACTTACTCCCCTAGTCGGTGGACAAACCGATCAGTACCCTCGACGCTGTAATAAGTAAGTTCCATTGCAAGGGCGCGTCGAAGGGAGCCTTGACGCGAAGGGGAGGAGAAGGGGCTAGTAAAATATGTGAAGAAGCAAAGCAAGGATTCAAACCTGTTGGGGTAACAACGACGAGCAGTCTGGATGCTTTTTATCCCCAATGGGGAGGGAGACTGAAATGCCGAAACAAAGGTAAATGGCTTACATATGTATCTACGGCCTTGTCTCATCACCGACTTAGTCTTACATGTGAATAACCAATTCTTGGATTTCCTACGAGACATAATAACTCACTACTGGCACCGCCTTGTCATGACGCGTTGTATCCTGCCTCCATATCCCAAACGGGGTATCGTCCATCTTGCGATCTTGACATCCCGGACCCTTCATATGATGCCATTCTCCTTAGTTTATAAGAATTCCAGGCCCCTTTCCAACTATAGCCCTCACACTGTCTCTTCCAGTATCTCCACGACCTTGTGCAGCAGAAGCCGAAACCTTGGCTTTAGGGTCCGTGTCAGACACAACAGTACCATTGACTGCATGGACAGATCGATTGTACGATTGCCCATTCATCTGACTCTCGAACACATTGATGGTGTCTCCCCAAGAGCTTGAGCTTCCACCAGTGACGGATTTATACTGCGCCGTGCCAGACTGACTTGTGTGTAGGTATGATGGCCCCGAGGTCAAGGTGTAAGTGGAAATACCGACCCCTCCTGTTGCTTCAAGGTTGAGACCTCTCTTCATCCAAGAGTCAATCGTCGTCCCATTCGAGGTGATGCCGTAAGTTGCATTGACAACCAAAGGGTATTGGAATGAAACGCTGTTTGAGATGGGTGCATGTCCGAGCTCGGTGATAGTGTTGTTTCCAGTTGTGAGTTGTCTGTTAACTTGGCTGTATCCTTGCTGATTGAGTAGACCGTAGTTGGAGAAGGATAGTGTTTGAGACCACGAGTACAGAGAAGATTCTGCGCTGAAAACTCGCTTGACGACCACGGAGTATGATAAGGAATCATTTCCCCCGGTCTCATTGTGGATAAGGTTCCGAGTCACAGCCAACACTGGCAAGGGAGCATTCACTGTGGGCCTATTCTTGTCACGAGTGACAGTGGCTGTAGAGTCTGATCTGTTGCCATCGATATATATGAAAATATTTCCAGTGACGACCCAATATGAGCCCACAGTATCTGCAAATGTGGCACTCCCATCTGCCGAGGCATTGAGGCCGGTCACACGGATCTCAAACGAATGTTGCTTCCCGTCTTGAACCATAGGGAGGAATGGGGAAATATCAATCTCTGGCTGTCGAAGATCAAATGCATCAGTCCCAACAACCGGACGCCAGAATCCCGGAGCCACGCCTCCCGTAAAGATAATAGGGAATGGCCAGACAAGCCCGGCAAGGATCCCATCGATATAGAGCTGAACTTCACGAAAAGGAGTGTACCCATATAACCCACCGACAGTGCTTTCAAAGTCTCGCGTATCTTCAGAGAAGACGTTGGACCACCAGAACTCTTCCTCTGATTGTCCACATGCCGATATTGACACAATAGCGCGCGATGCCGCAGCAGGGATCACGTACATGACTGTTGTGTTGTCTGTAGGGAGTTGGAAGGCACTTGAAGAGTTTGATGCTGACTTTTTGGCAGAGATTGGAAAAACCATATCCGCGGTCTTGACATTCTGTCCCTCAGAAAAGTGAGCCGTCAACGTGGCATTGAACGAGCCGGTGTAGACATCGTTAATGATATTTCCCAAGTCAAATATCAGCTTCTGGGGACTCTTCCATAACGAGTTATACTGCGACATCTCTTTGACATAGGTCCAGACAATCCCATTGGCTGTCGGCTCTGCCGTTGAAGTCCGGAACACTTCATTGTCTCCAAGGTACATGAGTGCCAATCGGTCAAACTGCTTTCCCCGAGAGGTGACCGTGAGATTGATTCGTACAGTATCAAAGTCGCAGTTTGGGGGCTCATAGTCGCCTACGTAAGTTGCAAGATTAGACACAAGTAGTAGTAACATTCGAGACCTCCTACCAACAAATGGCTCTCCATAACTGGAGCCAAAAACGTGATCCATGAGCAATATCTCAACATCGCAGTTGTCGTTTCCACCGGAATCGAGCGATATTGGGGAATAGAGCTGGAAGAACTCTTGCAAATCAGTTGAGCTAGGTGCCTGCGATGGAAAGCCAGTAATAGACTGCACTCCGCTCTGGAGCGAGGAAGCCGATGGGAGGTGCCCCAAAAGCAACAACCCACATATGCCGAACAGAACCATGATCGCTACTAGTCGGAAGTTTGGATTGACTCTTCTTAGTTTGCTGCGGGTATCGTCCACCTTCGATTTCGAATCGCAATGATCAATAGGCCAAACAGCGTTCGCAGTTGTGTAAGTCTCTTGGGGCTTCAGTGGTTCCTGACTGAGTAGCGACACTGAAGATCGATTCCAAGACCTGCGATGCGATTTAAAAACATTGCAAAATGTGACCACGAGCCAGAAAAGAAGAATAGATAAGAACCAGGCAGCTAGCCGGGTAAAACAATACTCCATGGGGGATTGCAGATCCGTTAGTAGTGGAGATAAGTGCCTTGGAGGCATGTCAGCTCTGAACCAATTAGGATATTGGGTTTCATCCAAGACGGGTGGCTAAAGCCTATGTAATTGGAAGTGGCTCTTGTGATGCAATAGCACCCGGAGGATACATGCACAAGATGTAATCTTCTAGTAGACTTCCTCGGTTGCAGATGCCCCTGACGATAAGGTGCATAAAGAGGGGAAGGCGTGTCGGACCTCCGACGCAAGCCCTATGTGACCCCTCAGGCTACCTTTTGTACGCCGAATATGCCCGGGGCATTTGAATTATCCAATGGTTTCCATTGATATCTACCAAGAAATGCTTGGTATTGTCTAAACACATAGCAACATAGCACGGCTAGACGAGTAGAGAGCATAGTGTACAAAAGAAACAGAAGTTGTAAGACATCAAAATGTCTTGTGTAAAGCAAGCCAAAAACAATCACTCCATATCCAATGCAGACTTTTATACCAATTCACATAAACAAGCGCCAGGCACCAAGAATAAGAGCCGCGGTACCGGTACAGACACCCCTGGAGAGAAAAGTAAGTCAGCATAAGCTCGCGCGTCGACAAGATACGTCGGGGGTCATACATAAGCCACTGCAACGTCGAGAACTTGACAGCCTCCACTCGTTCCCTTAATCCTGCAACCTCCTGCTCAATTCGTGTTTCTGTCTCCTTGATACGCATTTCTTGGCTATTTGCCTCCTCACGAATCCGACCCTTCTCAAGGTTCAGATCTAACCGGACCGAGGCTTGTGTTCGTCCAATCTCATCCCGGAGTCGTGAGTTGAGTTTCGCGAGGTCTGCTGCAATCTTCTCGTGCGATGAGCGGGTCAACTGTGCCTCGGTCGAGTCCGCGTTGAGTAATTCAGAGCGCAATTTGGCAAAGTCCACTTTTTGTGTATAAGTTGATCTCTCCGAGTCTAACGAAGGGTTTCCCGTTAGATCCCCGACAAGCAGTATAAAGCACGATGTGCGACAGAAGCTGTATTCACATACCTTCTCTGAGGACCATTGTCCTAGTCAGATTCTGGATTGACTCTTGAATGATATCGTTCAGTACCCGCATCATAGCTACGGACTGCTCCTCGCTGAAGCCCTCCGCCTGGAGGCGCTTCACGAATTTCAGGGTATCAAAGTGATGATCCCGGGGCCGGACTGGTGTCGCGTGAAAGGCGCGGCGAGCGGGATGAAAGGTAGCCACATATACGCCATCGTGCCGTATCGGATTGCCGCGCTTCGTTGTGGACGTTGCCGGCGTGGTTATAGAGGCTCCTCGGGAAACAAGATATTCGGAGATAACGTCCCGGGACGATGTGGAGATGAGCGGGGAAGACTGGGAGGGTGTGCTCGGGGAGTGAAATCGTCGCTTTAAAGGACTCCAGCCTTGGGGAAGTGGTCGTCTCTGACTTGTTGCGAGCGCGGGATGGTGGGTGATGGTGACCGATGGTCGCGAAGAGGAGCTGTTCCAAGTCAGGCGGGGAAGGATATTGCGCGGGACATCCGCGACATGTTTTTGAGGCGCCATGTCAAGGACAGCGGGCAAGCAAATATTTATTCAAATGCACTTCAAGCCGATCAAGAGTGACGCCGAAGAGGAAAGCTTCGAAGATCCTGGGGCCTGAAATCGTCGGGATGACTAAAAAGCATCGGAAAGATCGACGCTTTCAGTTTCCCGACCCCGGCGCCCACATTACCCGCATTGCCTAGTATAGTCTTGTAGTTTAAGTACGTTCTCATTTCATGGAATTAGAGGACTTTTTTGATCGATTTTTGACTATGGCTGTTTGTAGAAAATATCCAAATCAGACTCCGCATGTAAACGCTATCACAAATCCATTCCCTTTCGGCTACTTGACATTCAATCCGACCTGTACCTATAAGTCAAAAAGCTTCTTCAACTGGTCGATGGTATCTTGGGGGCCATCAACGGAGTGTCCAATGGTGCGAGGGTCTTCGTAGATTTCATAATCGTTGCCTCCGACGAAAGTCTTGTCGCCGAAGAAGTGGATGGTCTTGTAGTCGATACCCGAGATGCCCTTTTCAGCTTCGATGTGTTGTAGGCAGTAGGTCTTATCCCAACCGGTGGGGAAAACATCGAAAGAGATCTGACCGCCGATAGAGTAGCTGTATGGACAGGTTGATTAGTACCATATCAAAACCAAACCTCGCGGGACAAAGACTTACGTGAGACCGTAGTCGGGGAACTCCTTCTTCAAGGCCTCCACCAGGTTCTTTCTGATATTGTGGATCTTGTCATAGCTATACCGCAGGTCAGTCGGCCAACCCATTTATGTAGGCATAGTAATGCAAGATCAACACGTACGCTTCGAACTCATCGCGCTCGTCGACGCTAGCAGCACGTCCAACGGGGCTAATGTTGACCATTCCATTCCGGAACTCAACGAAAGTACCGCGCTTGCGGGGCAACTTGGTGTTGGCAATATACTTGAGAACGAAATCAACCAGCGCTTGGTACTTGTCCTCCCCAAGCCACTGAATGAAGTTGTTGCTGGCAAGCGACTCGCCGAGGCGGAATGCGGTAAGACCGTTTTCAGAGAAGCAGAAATCGAACATGGTGGTAACATCGATGGCGGATGATCCAAGCTGCTCTTGCTGCTTCACAAGGTTCGAGCCGCCAACCTGAATCATGTTAGGAACGGGGTGGGTGTATTGACTGGAAAGAGACGAACGAATCCAATAGCGCACTTGTGGCGCAACCGAGACAGCAACTCGAGCATCTCCGGCGAGGCATGCTATAATATAAAAAATATTAGTTAACTGAATAGCAGTGAGTCTCATTGCAACCTACCCGTCTCGCGGGGGTGAGAGTCTCGTCGACATCGAACAGAACAACCGTGTTCTTGATGGGACGGTCCTCCAATGAGGGGTAAACACTGGCAGCTACAGTCATTTTGAAGGATTTATTCAATTGAGTCCCAATGAGGAATTTGTCAAAGGTAAAAGTTGCGGGCGACTCGGGGGTAAATATAGAGAGAGGGGCCCGTTTTGGCCGCAAGCGGTGAGTGAAGGCGGGAGCTTAGCGTGAGACGTAGGGCCCAGAAGCGGAGAGAGGCCACCTGGTCTCTCGCACTCTTTTTAGAGGAAAGGTTTATTGGATCTAATGACTCACTCGGATCATTGAGCTAAATTAGTCTTGTATATGTTGCCGTCCTGGGGTACGCTATGTTGTACCGCATTGGCAGTGAGATCTAGACTCTTGTGTCTGACTGTTATCGATAAGAAACGGAGGGGTCAATTATCAGGTCAGAACGAGTTAAACATATGTACATATGCACTCGAGAATTAATTTTAACTACCTGCTATATACTTGAGATATGTATTTCCTACCGTACTACTTGGTCCATAGAGTCGGAATGTCCCAACCTAATTCCTACCGAGGCCTGTAAGAGCCAGCAAACCAGAGGTAGACATACTCAGCGTCCCATAGTGGACTGGAAGACCTTAGCCGCAAGTTCACTCAGGAGTCGCGTCCGATCCGGCACTGGCAGGTCCAAGAAAACCTCATAGACACTTTTCCCCTTAGCATCGCGGATCGCGCCTAGACGATTACCCGCAACAGCGCCAGCCAGCGCACCAGGCAAATTGCCAACAATGAAACCCAGAGCACCACCACTGACACCGCCAACCAGTGCCCAAAATCGCCCGGTTGGGCGAGTCCGCCTTCCGCCTTCTCCCTCGTTCTCCTCAGCGAGACCCTCCTCGCGCATCATCTCTTCAAATATGGTCCCGAACTGGAAGTTGTCGCGGGCATCGCGATTTCCCCCAAAGTCGGACCAGGAGAAACCACTGGTTGGTGGGGCTTCCGCTTCTGCTTCCTCGTCGGCTGCCTGGTACGCACGAGTAGCGTCATACTCCCGGCGGCGTGTGGGGTCCGATAGGGTGTAATAGGCGTCGTTGATTTCCTGGAACTTTCGTGTGCATGAGGGTCGCTCTGGAGAGTCGATGGGGACTCGATCGGGGTGGAATTTCAGTGATTCCCTAGACTTTGTTAGAGGGGCATTCCAAGGCTAAGTCGAGGCGCACTCACCTCTTATATGCATTGCGGATCTCGTATCGGTCGGCGTCTTTGGAGACGCCTAGGATCTTATCTGGTATGCGTTAGTTGGCTCGATATCAGTTAGGCCTTTTGGGGGGAAGGCTACAGTAATCTGGGCCTGGTCAAGAGTTAGTATAGATTTCAGTGAGAGAGAGTAAAACCAACGTACTCGACATGGTAACACCTGGTTCCGGGTTCGAACAAGAAGGTTTTTATTATGATAAACTAATGATAGACTCGGAGAAGCATTTGGAGAGTCTTCCATCACATGCAGTGACGTCGTTGTCACCTTGTGCCTAAGGCATGAATCTCCAACAGGTTCCACGGTTCAAATGTTCGTTGATATTGATGTTAAGCAACTACATTGTAGACGGGGACAAAAGTACACATTTTAATATAATTTTAAGGTGATTATGATCTCTGCTACTCGAGAGTGGGTTGCTTGACTCTCTGGGGTACTTTGTCTACCGCAAAATGCAGTTTAAGTCCAATTTTAGCCGGCCACGCCCCAGCCACCTTTATTCCGCCAGGGGGTGACTGGTCAATCCAACCTGAAGATCCCTTTTCATTCGCCTGAAATTAATAGCGACAATTGTCCACAAACCCCTCTTAGAATCTCAATTGTGCCAGCTGTCAAAAGAGATTTCCTGCATAGAAAATCCCTAAAGCGGGTGCACACATCGGCCTAGACCTCAGATTGCGCAGCAGCTAGTGGCTGACCTGCATCTGTGTCTTTTCCCTTTTCCAATTGCCACAGAAGGCGCCAAAAAGTCTCAGAGGAGATCATCAGGGGCATTGTTACGCAGCAGCATCTCAAACCTGCCTTCTTATGTGTACCTACCCACCACAATCCCTCTCCTAACACACAACGTCCCTAAGACCGAACACCTCACTCACCGGCCTGGCCCCAAGTGCCCAAAGTCGCACCCATAACCAGCTCTAGCCAGCATCACCTCACTAGCACAATGGGTTGGTTCGACGGTAAATCCAGCGCAGTTTCGTCAGCGGGATACGTGCGACGACGGGCATCACCCACGCCCAGCTCGCACAGCACGCATAGCAGACGCAGCAAATCCGGCTACTCCACCCACCATTCGCGACACTCTGCACCATCTTTCTTTGGTGCGTTAGGTGGAGGTCGATCAAGAGGCCGATCAAGCCCGTCTGTGTTCTCGTCGTTCTCATCTTCGTCGCGACGAGCCCGTCCCCGTGAGGGATTCGTGCAGCGGATGATCCGCGACATCAAGCGTTTGTTCCGTGATATCTATCGCTGGGCCCGACGCAACCCTATGAAGGTCTTTATGATGGTTATCGTGCCACTCCTGACCAGCGGTGTTCTGCCGAAGCTGCTTGCTATGATTGGGATTCGCTTGCCGCATGCTGTTACAAGTGCCCTTGGTGGTGCGTCGAAGACCGGTGGTGGTTTCGAGGGTGGTGGTAGGGGTATGTCGGAGAACATTGGCAGCCTGATGAACATTGCAAAGATGTTTGCATAGGCGACATGTCTCCAGGGCTGGATAGGCTCTGTTCGAGCCTGGGGTCCCTTTTCCACGATTTGCAATGCCTTGCTGAAATTCAACACATGACGATCACGATGATACACCTACTGTCCTTTGCTCCTTTTTTTGCTTTTATACTCCCGCTCTTTTTTTTCGGACTTTGCCATTTTTCGATGTTGTCATGAACTGGGAGGCCCGCCTGAATTCGATAGAATTGATTCCTCTGGAAAAGCTGCTGTTTGGTGTCGACAATGAAACACCTGAGAATTAAAGACAAGTCTAAAGATACATATGTACATTGAAGTCTCCTATTTATACTAAACTAGCAAGTGTTGATGCCCAAGCCGGTGGAGATGGTAAGTGTTGGACAGCTGTACACCGCACTAGTTACGTCTGCAGCTGGGGAAGTGCACTGGCCGACAAGACCCGCCTACAAACCCGCCAAACATTAAGTAGTAGTATATGTAAGTATCGAGTACAGATCTTCCTGCTGGCATTCCCATCTTCGTGCGTCATATATGAGATAGATCTGCAAGTACGGAGTGCATATCGTACACAAACAGGATAGCCAATGGCTATGTAACTGTAGACATGCACAGGGTATCGATGATCAGTAGCTGATCTCCATCGTTTTGTCCTGAAGTCTTGGATTTGATAACAAGAATTATGTGTACATTTTGGTTTCTACTTGGGTATTGCCGACATCTGAGCAAGAATTCTATAGTAAAAGCAACCTTAGGGAAATTTTGGGATCAGCCCGGGCAGAGAAAGCAACATGTAACGCCCGAGGTGCAGCGATACAGCTGTCCAAGTCTATGATCGCTGGGAGCGCTTGCCACGCTTCCGAGAGCGGGAGTTCGAGGTGGCAGTGGTCTCAGCTTCCTCAACCAAGGGCTCCTCAGCCTCATCAGAATCCACTTCCTCGGTGGGAGTACCCAACACCCGACCAACAGTACTTTTGAAGCACCAGATGGGAAGCTTGCACACCATTGTCTCACGGAGAGTAGGGCGTTCAATTTGATCAATGTCGAGCAGGAACTCCTGGCGTTCGCCAGCCTCGTTCTGCTCTTCCAAAAACACATTGCCAATAGAATCGACAATCAGCGTCTTCCCATTCTCAGCAACGACGCGCTTGCGCTCGCCAGTGCTAGCAGTCTGCTCGGTGGGGGTGGAGGTTCCAGAGGCACGAGCGCTCACGCGGGCTCCTCCCTTCTTATCCTTCTTGTTCTCCTTATCCATCATACGCTTCTGGCGACGATTGACAGCCACGGCACCGGCGTCACCGGATTCAGGGGCAGTAGGGGGAGGCGCTGCGACCGAGTCGATTCCAGGGATACCGCGAACACCCATTTCATCACCCCAGGCAGCTCTGCGAGCCTGGCGAATGTAGCGATCCACGAACTCGCGTTGCCGCTTCCAGCCAAGGATCAGCGCGGCGTAGTGAGCACCACCACCGAAGACTAGGAACAGACCGACCAGCACGGAGCCTAGACCAGGACGGAATCGCGAGTAGTAGTATCCGGTACCCTTCCACAAGGGGAAGCCATTCTTGAGGAAGTGGTCGTAACGGTCGCGGTTCGGGCCGCGCAGGACGTTGGCGACGAGGTTCAGACGGGCAGAGCGGGCGTCAGCATCCTTGACTGCGGCGTCAATCTCGCGCTGAGTAGGACCCTTGTTGACATTGACCCCCTTGTTGGACTTGGCCTTGCTCTTGTCCTTGGCGTAGTTGGCGATGAAGGCGCGCTTGACCTTGTCCGGGTGGATGGTTCTGGACTTCTTGCGGTAGGCCTTGGTGATTTGTTCCTGATTGGCATTGGGACGGATCTCGAGGAGGTCTGCAGTCGGGTATAGAAGTTAGATACGTATCCTCAAAGTTATGGAAATAAAAATGGAAATGGAAAGAAAGAAAGCCTCAATGCTAGGGAGACACCACATACCGTAGAAGGTCACATTAGCACCTTCATTTGTGGCCACATCATTTTGTAGACCAAAGATCTCATAGTCTGTTCAATGTCAGTAGTGAAGGGTCCCGGGGTAAATAATACCCACCTTCTTTGGACCAGGCAGCGACGAGGCCAAAGAAGACGAAGAGAGAAAGAATGGCAAATGGCTTCATGATTGATAGCGGTCAATGCCGCAGAAGCCAGAAACGAATGTAATTGAGCGAATTAGCTGTGTGTTAGTGGAGGGACGTAGGGAAAAAAAGCGGTCGGGTGTTTATCCAAGAACTCAACGTGGCCCCAATAGAGTTGGTTTTTACGGTGACTGTCTTTTCTTTTTGGCTTTCGAGGGGAAATGCATTGGGCTCTGCATGAATTATTGTATCTGAGCATATTCCGTAGTATATATAGAGGGATCTAGATTGCGAAGTTTACTTTCTTCTGTTGTCCTGAAGAACTTCCTTGGGAGTCAGGGAGTTCGTTGCCCAGGGAGTTAGCCCTGGAGTCAGGAACTGAGGACCCGTTACTATTATTAGCGGTCATTTTGTTTCTACCTAACTGCCCTACAAGATACTATTTCACATCTTATTACCTTTCATTACTTGATAATTTGGTGAAATAAGACCGTGCTTCGACTAAAAATCCGAAGGGGAAAAGGCCAAGAAAAGACTTGTCCGACGTGTTTGTTTCCGGCTTCTCTTTTCTCTCTACTCTCTCTATCACTTTATTACCTGTCTCATTTTCAACTCTCTCATTTACAAACTCTTATTTTCCCCTTTCTCAACCTCTTCATCCTTCAAAATGGTCTCTATCCCAATCGATGCGATCACTTCGCGTTTCGGCGATCGCTTCAACAACATCCGCAGCACCTCGTTGAGTACACGCTTCGCCAACCTGCGCCCGATTTCCGAGTTCCTCGACATCAAGCGCCTATCCAAGCCTGCCAACTTCGGTGAAGCCCAGAGCCGAGTCAATTACAACCTGTCCTACTTCTCCAGCAACTATGCCGTCGTGTTTGTGATGCTCAGCATCTACAGCTTGCTGACCAACCTGGTGCTGCTGTTCGACATGGTCTTTGTGAGCTGTGGTCTCTACGGAATCAACATGCTGCAAGGTCGGGATCTGGACCTGGGCTTCTCTCGCTTCACCACTTCGCAGCTCTACACTGGACTACTCATCGTCGCAGTCCCTGTCGGCATCTGGGCTTCCCCCCTCACGACTGCCCTGTGGTTGATTGGGGCTACTGGCGTGACCGTCTTCGGCCACGCTGCATTTTTGGATAAGCCGATCGAGAATGCTTTTTCCGAGGAGGCGGTCTAGGTGGTCGGCCGCGAGCTCCTTTTGATATGCCCTCATGGGGAAGACCACCGGGGGCACGCATGGGGAGAAATAATAGGGGACGCGCGGCGTGGGAGGAGACACGGCTGGAGGAGGTGGATAGCGAGGAGGATGCATACGGGCGGGAGCTGGTGCGGACTGGTCGATACAGGCAGTTGGAGTATGGAGGACGAGGACCGCGGAGGCGACCTGTGGATTATGAGGATCTGACGGATGAATCTGAATCGGTTGATGGGGGAGAATTCGATCTATATGACCATGAGGATAGCACGGTGGCCTATGCGGTTCAATTGGCCATGCGGGACAAGGAAGATCAATTGGTGGATACGGCGCTCGAACGAATTCGCCGCGCCCAAGTTCTGGGAAAGAAAAACGTCCGGCTATCGAAACGCGAACTGGATGCCTTAGAGCGCAAGCGCCAACAGACGGACGGTTTAAGTGGAAGCCGGCGCCCATCCGCCAGTTCTGTCAAAGTGTCATCTCGACCATCGTCCAGACGGAGCGGGGCAGTTGTTGCACCAGAGCAGCTGCCCGGCGCGTACCCGGCCTTTGCGCCTGATGCACACGCCTGGGCTAGAGGGACCGGCACGAATAGCCGGCCGTCCAGCTCATCTTCTGCCCGTCCCCGGACTCCAACGACACAATCTCTTCGTCCCCAGCAGTCTAATTCCCCTCTTCGACCTACCTACCCGCCATATACACCCGAACGCTTTGCCCCCAATGGCCGACCACAGTCGATGCAACAAGCGCCTGTCTTCCAACGGCCACTGCCAGACGATCCTCAATGGGCCCCACCCTACTATAATCCAATGCAGATGAGCCCATACGGGGAACCGCCATACCAATCACAGGTTCCACAACAGAGTCGAATGAGTTACCCTTCAGGTCCTTCCTACCCTGCTTATCAATCTCAATCTCCGGGCAAACGCCCACCGCAAGGCACACCGCAGACCGAAGACTTAGCTCCAGCTCCATCTTTAGCTCCATCCAAGTTGGGGTCGGAGGAATCCAGTGAAGAATTGGAGAGTGAAGATGAAGTGCAGATCGTCAAGGTGGCCAAGGTGGCGGAGCGCAAGGCCCCACCCGTTGCAGTTGCGCAGAGGCGGCCGGTCACCGGAACCACTCGTAAGCGGACCAGTCGATGAAGATGAAGTGTCGGGATTGTCCTGATATCCAAAATTACTCTCTGTGTCTTTGTTTTCTGCTTTACTGTTTTTGTCGATTCCATCATTGCGGTCTTTCCGTACTGCGACGGCGTTTTTAGGTAGACCGGTGGACTATAAGCGTACACATAGTATTCTCACTTTCAACCCATTTGATGTAGATATTTGTAGGGCTTGGAATAGTCTGACATAGACCAATGCACTGGGCAACAATGAAAGCGTCTGAATATCTTCTGTTGTACTATGTACTATTATTCTCACAATCTCAGCCTCCAAAGGCGTTAGTTCTGCCAAGTATTCAGCCACCCCGGCGTACCCGTTAAGGTCGTGTGACAACCGTGGAACAGGCATTCACGTTAATATTTCTACTAAGTTGTATATTAATAGTACTCTATGCCAGACGATGTAGCCTAGTATATCTACAACAATTTCACCGGAGTAAATATTGAGGACGATCACTTGGACTAGGCTGTGGGGGTGCACAATTTTTCTGCCTTGGCAGTCCTGGGGATGACGTCGCTTTATAATCTCCAGCTTAGGGGCTTCTAAATTAGTGTTTGAGATGTTCCTTCTCTGCTTTTTATTGCTTGAATTCTTTCTTACTTCTTCTTTTCAGTATCTACAACATAGTAGGGTATAAACAAAGGTATATTCCCCTTGGGCATCATTGTTATCCCGGTTCCAACTTGATATCCCTTTGTCATCTAAGCGCCACTGTTGCCCCTTTCAAGACTTCTTTCATTTGAACCTGGAATGCTGTATTCCTGTCAAACAGTGTACATAAATACAGGGATATACAGGTGAGTTGCAGTGGGGAAAATACTGGGAATCCACACCTTCTTTCCATCCTATATGGAATCACATCACTTGGAGAAGCTGCGACTGACATCATATAGACTCGTTCGCGTTGCGCTTCCAATCCTCCACACTCTTTGAATTCGGTTTTTAGCGGACATAGAAAGACACTGCATACCTCCATTGCATCAAAATCGGTCTCGAAGTACAACTCAAAAGTCGCAAAGATGTGGATTATATCATTTTGGATGTTTCCGTTGGTGTCAGCCTGCATGTGGGTTGGTAAGGCATCGCTGCGCTACACTGGATATTTTGTTCTGGGCTGCAGCTAATATGGTCTTAGCAATGTTGATCGCCATGCTGGTCACCTGGGTCAAAGAGGGGAGACCGCACTACCCTAGTATGGATGACGGACAGACCATTGCGTATGTCTTCTTCTCCGCCATTTGCCCATCTATACGCTAACAGGACTGTTACAGGTACATTTCAGATGTCGGAGCGCAACACTTGAAGCCGCTGTTCGTCGCAGGCAGCGTAGTTACCGTCGTCTTTCTCGATTTAGCATTCCTATCCGAGCGGTGGCTTCGACACTCTAACCAGCTGGCCTCGAACAAGGGGAGATTGGACAAGGCATGCGCTATCCTTTCGATCTTCTTCGCTATTGCCGGTGCTGCTGGCTTGATTCTGCTGGCTGTCTTTGATACGCTCCGCCACCCGAATATGCACGACGGTTTCATCGCCCTGTTTATGTGAGTCATGCCCACTCTTGGAAATATCCAGCCAACAGGCAACTGACCAATCGATTTCCCTCCAGTGCTGGATACGTGATTAGTGCCATCTTGGTTTGCATCGAATACCTTCGCATCGGAATCTTCTATCGTCGCGAGCACCGCATCTTGCTCATCAGTTTCTTTATCAAGCTTGCCTTCGTCATTATCGAGCTCGCACTCGCCATCGGCTTCGGTGTCTGTATTGGTAGCAAGAAAGCGTCTAAGCAAAACCCCGGCGCAGTTCTCGAGTGGACGATTTCTTTCGTCTTCACTGGCTACGTTCTCTCCTTCGTCGTCGATCTATTGCCTTCCGTGCGCACCCGCAACCATGTGCCCCAGGGTGAGAAGTACCTGATGGACCAGGGAGGCCGTGAAGAGGGTGTCTCTATTGAAGAGCCGCTGACTCAAGACTCGATGGGCCCGACCACCGGCTTTTACCGTGGCCAGCGTGTCTAATTCCCTGTTCTGTCTTTATATTCCTGTATTTACTTATATGACCTGCACGATGTGATCCGATACTCTGCTTTTGTTAATGCTTTCTTGATACCTGTCATGGATACTCTTTGTATATGGTGTTTTTGGAAGGAAGTTGGGCATAGACTGTTAGAGTCAATACGTTGGCCTTAGAATACATATTTACTTATTTACCTATATAGCAATTCAATCAACATTTCCATTGGATGTCTTCTAGACTGTCTTTTCTCTGTTTACTAGACACGAAATGAAAACATCCAATCCCCCACCATTTATTATCTCGTATCCAAATGCCCATATAACAAGAAACGCTAGACCCATCCCAATGCCAAGGTCATTATCATATCTACATATCCCATATCAAATACAGAAATCCATATATCCAAATCCCAAATCCCAAATCCCAAATCCCAAAAGTCGAAAGCCGAAACCTCAAACCAAAAGCTTCGCTCTAATCCTCTCCTGCATCTCAAACCCAACCCCAACCCTCTCCAAATACCCCCTAACACCCCCATACCTCGTCTCCAGGTACTCGGTGGTATCAGCAACAAAGCCAGGCGGACAACGCGTATAATCCTCGCCAAGCCCAATGGCCCTAATCTCCTCCATGCGCTCCTCAAACTCCGAGACGAGCTCCAGCTCAGAGCGACTGTAATCATCGACAATCGCCTCAGTCGGCACCCCACCAACAAGCAACAACATAAGCAACACCACCAGTCCCGTCCGGTCCTTCCCCTGCGTACAGTGCACTAATGTTGGATATGACTCCTCGCAAGCCAGGATCTCGAATACAGCCCGGATCTCGCCCATGCTGGAATCTAGCGTGTCTTGAGCTAGGCCTGTGAGCCCGCGCGGTTGCATTACGGATCCGCATACTAGACGCACTGCGTCGCTGCGGTAGCCTGTTGTTACGAGGCCGATTGTTTTGCTGTTTCTGTATTAGTTTGTTCGTTTATAAGTACATACGATGTACATGTACATGTAGTTGGTGTAGATGCAAGGGGCACATTACAGATATGTAAACCAGTCCAATTTCGATAATAAGGCGCGTTCGAAGCCTTTGCCTGTTAGGCTTATTAGAGCTCGTTCCGAGCCGGGGATTTGGAGGAGATGTTCGTCTGGATTTGTTGGGATTGGATCTGTGGATTTTTCTGATGGATCTGATTCTGCTTTGGCATTTTCGCCTCGACGTTTACGCGTGCCCATTTGGTGTTCTGTTCTGTGTTTGGGATTAGTTCACTAGTTTTTGGTTTCTGGTTTCTGGTGTTTCTTTGGTGTCTTGACATACTGGGAACGGAGATCGACCACGGTGTGAATGTGTAGTTCTTCTGCTAGACGACGTATATCTCGTTCTGATGCGTCGTCAAGCTGGAGATTTCAAATCAGTTGAGTCTTTTTTCCGTCTGACAACGCATCAATGCAGAGTAATCATTTGAGCGGGGTTAGAATTACCCTCGCACTCCGAAAGAACACGCCTTCTTTCAAGATCCTATGTCAAATTGTTAGTTCTGTATCTAGAGAGACTTGGATATATCTCAAGAAACGCGTAACTCACTCTTTGCGACAAAATTGATTAACAGACCGTCCGACATCGCGGAAATTGATGATGTTGTCGAAGGGCCGATCGGGCGAGTCTAGATCCACACTGTTATGGCGCGACATGGTAAATTAGAAATTAGAGAATAGAAAATTTAAGAAATATTTTGAAGCGAGAAGGAGGAACGTGTTTAAACGTGTTTAAACATGTGGAGAAGTACAAATGGCGGTGGACGCGGACGTTGGGCAGACATCGCGTTTTGGCCGATAGTCGCCTGGACAATGAACTTTTTGTTTTTTTACTGATTCAATTGTCATTGGTTATGGGAATTGGTGACTTTCTGTCTTGTCTTGTCTTGAAAGAGTTGACTATATATAGCAGAGACAGGTGTTTTAGTATGTATGGTCTGATCTAAGGACTTTTTGTATATTCCAGCAACTTGGGAACTGGTTTAGTGGTCTGTTTTGAACTTGCTAGTATCTCAAGTATTCAAGTCGGATGTAACTAGCAAAAGATCAAGGAAACAGGGTTCCATATATGTAGCGACGATGAAACAGGTACCAGAGCTAAACAAAGAAGAACAAAGCTCGGATCTAGACCGGGAAAATCTCCGTTACGGGAAGATCAAATTGACAATTTGATCAATTCAATATGTCAACATCAACACCTTCACTAAACATATTGTCCCCGGTTGTTCTTCCATTGTGGCTGCAGGTATGACCAATCGTGATTGAAGTTGAATCCAGTGCGATAAGCCCCATATGCAACCAGATCCACCTGACTCAGTCTCGCCCCCTGCTCCGTCAGCGCCCACAGACTAATTGCCAACGTATTCTCCCCACGGTTGTTGACCACGCCTGGCGGGAAAGGGAACCTAGTCTGGGGACCGATGTGTGGCAAGTAATGACCGAACTGGTACCCATTCATGAAGATCTGGACCACTGCGGGGGAATCAGCAGATGCACCGAGCTGCAGACCAATCGGAACGTCCAGGTCGGAGTCCAGGTCAAGCTTGAAGGTGGTCGTGTAGAATCGGCCTGCTGCGCCAGACACGCCGTCCAGCGGACTGTCTGAGGTTGCCGTCTTGGACGCTTTGTATCCTGGGAGATGCCAACCAAGACGCTCTCCGTAGAGACCTCCTTCGTTCATAGGTCCACGTACAGGATCGATGTTGGCTTCACCTCCTGCGTTACCTTGGATGCGCCAGGATGTGAAATCGCCCCCAAGAAGCGTAGCGCCCAGTATACCGCGCGGGTTTTGCGCCCCATTCGGTTTCACGTTTGCCTGGTCGTGGCCTGTGTAATCCATGACAACGGTCAGAACATTGTCTGTCTTGCGCAAGGTAGAACTGTTGAATAGTAGCTCGGCTGATGTCGCGGCTAGGGCGGGATCACCGATGGCTCCACCGACGTAGACCCCGTTTAGCCAGGCCGCCCAGCCGGCAGCGACGCCGTTCTGGACGGTGAGATTTGCGCCCGTCGCGGTCACGCCGTCGAAACGTCCGCGATAGATCTTCGTTCCGGCATGGTAGCCATAGTCGCCAGAGTAAAGCACGGGAAGTGTTAGTGGTGCTACGGAGTTGACTGAGGTCGTTTTGTTGCAGACGGTCCAGCGAGAATCATCATAGCCTGGCTTAATCTCTGGAAGGGTATCTTGTGCTTTCCATGATTTCAGGGCTGGCAGCGACACTTTGGCATGTTGGGCTCCCGGGGCTGATCCGATTAAGCTACCATAGGCTGTCTTCTTGGTTGGGATCTCCTTCCCATTCCACTTGATTTTGGTAACCTTTGAGTTGCCCGTGTAGACCCTATGGTCAAATATTAGCTAGTGACTTATTTGAGAGTAAACATCGCACTTACTCGAGAGATGTTGTGTTTGCGTTATCACCAACGACACTGACTGTGTGCCCACTGACACTTGCTGTGCGAACGAGATATGGCCCGAGGGCAATTATCTGCTCACTGGGGGCCACAAGCGGATTAGAGGTAGTCGGTACTGCGAAGAAGTTCCACGCCGTGACTTTATCGAGAAGGTATACTAGTACGCCATGGGAGAATTTCAGAACAGTCGTGCCGTCTCCTTGAGTGTATGTGTATTTGGCGCCATGATCCGATGCGACGGAGCTCACCTTCGAATTCCCGTACGTTTGGAAAGTCAGATCGGTCGGTGCATCTTTGAAGACAAACTCTCCTTTCTGTCCGATATTCAGATAGAAAACAATAACATCTACATCGAGGGTGGCGTAGGTCAACACCTCGGCGGATGAGTAGAGCAAGCTCGAACCATCGCCGATTTGGTAGTCTGTGACTATAATTTTGCTCTGGCGGCCGGCCAGCTCAATGTTTGGGATGGTGAGGGCCCCTATGGTGTAGACTCCAAGTTAGCGCAATTCTTATTCTCAAACACTGGAGGACATACCAGCCGAGGTGTTGACGTTAAGTGAAGTAGTAGTCACAGCACGAGACGAACTGGTAGAGTGCGCGAGAACATAGAAGCCGGCATGGGTTTCTGGGTTCCGCAAAGCCCACGTGTAGATACTAACATCACTAGTGTACCCTGTTCCATTCCCTTCCATTTGCGTTTGGAGAAGACCGGACGACACGCGAGTAAACAGACCAATCAACTTGGTCTGTTTGAGCTTGTCCCGAATCTCACGGGTCTCTCGCATGGGCGCAGAGTAGTCATATGAAGTGTAAACAACCGGGGCAGCACTTTGTCCCCAAGAAGTTGCCCCCATCACCATATAGATATTGTGCAATGTGACTCTGGAGCCGATGTTATTCTTATAGTAAACATCGGCGAATTCAGGCGAAAGCTCGGTAGAACATTGATCGTAGAAACTCCCTCCCCAGGCGGAGAACCAACCACCCTCAAACTCTGGCAGGTACTCAGGCTGAGAACTCGAGTAATTCTGGAACCACTGGTAATAAGTGCGGACAAGGTTGAACCCGGTATTTGGGTTGGTGCAGGACAGGCCACCAGGATAGGAGTCCAGACCGTAGATGTTGACGGCACCACCCACATCCTGGTAGTCAGTCGACCAACTCACAGAGCGCATTCCCTTTTCGTTATGTGTGCTCGGGACAATGACGCCAGCATCACTGAAGGCAGCTTTGACTTGTTCCATGTATTTGACGACAGTGTTATCGGCACTGTGAGTTGTCTCCTGCAACTCATTCTCGTGCTGATTGAGAATGACCGGCCCACCACTGGTGATTTGGTTTGCGGCGATGATCTTTCCGATCTTCTGGATCCACGGATACCATCGGTCATAGTAGGAGCTTGCGCTGGTGCGCGTGCTGCCCATTTGGCCATTGGATGCCCATAATGCGAGCCCGCCAGCAGAGGTCTCGGCATTGCAATAAGGTCCTGCGCGCGCGATCACATACAGACCGGCCTGCTTGGCATAATCAAAAACACGTTGGACGTCATGGGCGCCGTTCTCGAAGTCGAAAGTATCTTCGGAAGCAGAGTGGAAACTCCAGAAGAAATAAACTAATCGGAATGAGTACTATTGCAGCCTGGGAGTTATTTCGAAGTTACTCACTAGAAATTGCATTAAACCCATTTGCGCGTAGCTTCTGAAACACGTCGAGCCATAGCTCCGGCACGGGGAGTCGCTGGTAATGAAATTCACCGGAAAACACATATACCCTCTCTCCTTTGACAGAGAGGCTGTATTTGTCCCATGTAACATCAGTAGTCTTGCCGTTATCTGTCGCAGAGACGAAATGGCTAGAAATGATTCCAAGGAGGACCGGGAGAAGTGCGAAAAGACGCATTGTCGGGTGCTATGCATGTACCCATATTGGAATATGACTTGTTATAATGGTGTATGCTTCGGTCCTCGCTATAGAGATACCCCGTACCCTGCTGGGATTGGTGGATGTTCTGGAGAGGAAATGTCCGATTAGGCAATTTTCCAGGACCTCTAGGGCCGTGAAGATGCGGGGGAATGGCCGGCTTTTAAGCCGGGGAAATGTGTGTTATACACTTGAATATGAATGCAGCTTGGATTGAATAAAATATGATAGAAGCAAAGGAAATAAAGTGAATGAAGTAGCGAAAAGCGCCCGGATAGTGCCAGTAGGTATTACCAAGCGAAGAGGTGACGGCACTTTGATAACTAGGGTGCGGCCAATGGCGAAGCACATATGCCAAGAGTCCTAGGTGTATCGTGCCGGTATCAGCGCCAACAAGTGAGAACCCTTCATGTACAGCTTGGCCTAATGATAATAATAATGTGCACGACCCGAAGATATGGACCACCCGATCCAATAGACGCTCTGGAACTTTTGATATCTGAAAGTTATCGAACCTCCTTTTTGTTTCTGTTGAACGAGAATTGCTTCCGATGACTCCGGCGACGCGCCAAAAGATCCATTGGAGTCTCTCCGTCCGAATTACGGCTATCTCGATCCGCTCCATGATCAAGAAGCAACCTGACCACTTGCCATGCCGATGTCAGTACCGCTGGGTGGAGAAGTGTGTTGTCATCAGCGTTCTTAGCAGAGGTATCTGCTCCACGTTTCAATAACAATTCGATTGTCCCACGATCGCCTTCGATGCTCCGTATGTCATGGCGTCTAGCGGTGTTTGACCGTAAGAGTCCACCATATTTACCTCCACTCCATGGGCCAGGATAAGCTTCACGGGACGCCTGTGTCGGTTTCGTAAAGGGGGTTCTGCTCTTCACTGTCTCCAATGCTCCCACCGGCTCCATAGCTCAAGAGAAGCTTCATCGATTTGTGAATGAATGAAACACAGGTCTCATAATCAACTTTCTCAGGTTCGGGTTCAGATATTGGGCGTCGAAACCACTCTTGTCAACTGCTCACGTCCCACTTCACGACGGATCCATAGTCCCCTGCTGCAATTAAGTAATTTCCCACCAGGTGGGGATGGTTCATCAATTCGTCGCCACTGTGCCCGAAGTCGAGTCCATTTAACTCAACTCCATCTGAATCGCATCCATATGGGTTTGATCCATCCGAGATGACCGATTGAAGTGAATTTGGGCCAAACGCAGTTCGGTACTTCGTATTGGCATCAAGATCCAACAGATGCTTCATCAATTCGGCCCTACCTCGAACGCCTCATTTATTCGATGCCAACCATTGATTTTGTCAAGGGTAAGTCCGCAAATCCGCAACGAGAAGTTCTATCATGGCTTTTTTGGTTGTCTTGGTGTAGAATAGTCGCACCGATGTAGACCCGAGGACAGAGTCTGCCCCGTGCTCAAGAAGAAGCTTCGCTGTTTCTTTGTTGGAGAACAAACATTGGTTCGAGGTTTCTATGACTCCATGAAGCACGTCATTACTGCTCACATTCGCGCCACGTTCGACAAGCAGTTTCAAAACGCCGTTGGAGAACGAGCTACAATTGAATAGTGCAAGTAATAACGGCATATCCGAAGAGTAAGCAGACCCAGTATAATTGCAGTAGAAACCAAGATCCAGTAGTAGCTTCACATTAGCATAATGGTCCGTTACCCTTCTCCCTAGATCCGGAGCGAACATCTTGCTTTTTGCAAGAGCAGTATCTCTTGTTGTACCAATAATCTTCCTCTCCTAACGCGTAAGGTAACAGTCTGTCGTAATAAGCTGGTCGGAAGGTGCGAGAGTCCAAATCAAGCAGCATTTTCATAATGGAAAAGTAGCCGTTTCAAGCAGCAGAGTTCAATGCGCGGTCGAAAGACTCCACTAACACTTGGAGTCTCTACCTTCATTTGTTCAGGTGTTTGAGAAGGGCCTCCACTATCTCCTCATAGCCATTCTGAGCGGCCCAGCACAAGCTTGAGCTACTCCAGTACTTTCCAGGTACACGATAACCGGCCCGTGGCCGCTTTGGTTGATCTTTGAAGTCATCCTCAACGCAGTCGATGTCTGCATTTAGGAAAGTAGGAGTCGGGTTCCATGCACATCGCCAGCTTTGACACACTCCGTTAGGCCTTCTTGGAGCTCCCAATGCTCTCGTTGATAATGACAGTGCCATAAAAGAGGTCGGACAAAGGTCGTGGTAGCATTCCAGGAGACAGATGATGTCGCGCACGCATATGCCTGAAGCAATTCGGCATATCAACTCATTTGGCAATGAAAGAAGAGATGCTTGTGCCATGTCGAAAAGCCGCTTTAACTGATAGCTTGGAAAGAGGAAGGAGTGAAGAAAGAAGTGTAAGAAATGTAAGACCTGAACAGAGTGAAGAGAAAAGGAAAGGAACATTTATGGATTGGAGTGCTACCTTGGAACGCCATGCGAGTCACGCAACGTGCTCAACTGTAATTATTTTTCCACAATCTGTCTCCTTTGCACTCTCTTTAACAAAGCTTGAATGTCGCACATCATCGTTAATTGGAGGTTAGTGCGCATGTAGTAAGAGCAAATTCTCATCATGCGGTATGCTTCAGCCTACTCCGACACTGCTTTCGAACGTTCGTTTCCAGATACGGTAATCTAGAGGTGACGACACTTTGATACAATTCTCTGGCCAGACCTAGTATATACAACATGAAAATACTGGATTGCGGCCAATGGCGAAGCACATATGCCAAGAGTACGGGGGGTGTCATCCCGGTATCAGCACCAATGAGGTCGATGGGGCCAAAACAAGCCCTGAAGATCATTTCCAAATCCACGGGCACATTGGTACGAAACTCAGCCCCATCTCCTCGAGCAGTGAGAAGTCAGAAAATTACTTTAACCCGCGTTGCCGGTTCTTCTCTCCACAACTGTCTCTATCCCAAGCCTGGGGTGCAAATCTACCCTACACCATGGAGTACAGTCCCACCCCAAGTATGGGCAGTGAGTGTATACGGCGTCAATGGCGTCGTGCCAAATCTGTGTTTTCTGGTCAACGCTACCATGGTGTCCCCAGCGGCCAAATTGAGAAAACAAGTGCCATTTGGTCGAATCGGATACAAGGACAGGAAAATCTCGAGGGGAAAACCAAAGCAGAGACTATTGGACACGACCGATCAAGCCCCGGGAAGCCACACTGGATTAATGGCGTCCTTCTCTGTACCAAGGCAACTACTGTTCTCCTTCTGCTGAATATCATCTTCATTGCCGTCGCCGCTGGACTATCCAACAAAAACGCGGAGAACAGTGCATTCTCCAGCTTCCAAGTAATGTACCAGGGTAGCTGTGTCCTGTCCAAACGATGGAACATTGCGCTGCACTTGATAATCAACGTACTCAGTACTGGAATCCTGGGTGCTAGCAACTACTGCATGCAGTCACTGGTCGCACCGAGTCGGGAAGAAGTTGACAAATATCACGCGCGAGGTCGATGGCTTGACATAGGGTGCTCGAGTGTGAGGAATCTCTTCGTTATTGGACGATCGCGGCTCGCCCTCTGGCTGGTGCTACTTGTCACAGCCACACCGTTCCATTTGTTGTATGTTGTCGGAAGAGGTCTAAGAGACTAGAGATATGGAATTGACATAATTTGGCAGGTACAACTCGATGGTCTTTGAATCCGTGGCCGTAAACGAGTTGCGCGTCGTTGTGGGACCTGGGGATTTGAATTCTTCCAACGTCGCAAGCTTGAAGACTCCTGCCCTTGATCAGTGCTTTAGAATAAAACCGGTGTTCCCTGGTGGGGATGCTGCTGTATATCGGGGTGCTAATGTTGACAGCGATGATATCAGCAACTCGTATTTGTCAGACATTGTGCCTGATGGGTATTCCGAGGGTGAGTTGAACTGGCATGACTTTGCATCCGATATTGCGCGGGGCGATTATGAGCGCCTGGATACCCAGCAATGTATCGATCTCCACAGTTTCGGGAAAAACGGAGGGGCAAAGGTGGTCGTCATGCTCACGAACGCGTTGTCTGTGAGCCAAGGTGGAACGACTGCAATACTCTCGACGAGCCCAATAGATGGCCTGGCCCATGCCGATACGACCCTCAGTAACGATGTGGAGGGGTCCGAATTCGCTGGCAAGACCCTGATGATCAGTATCATTGACTCTGGTCGATCCCATTATTACACAAGTGACAATTTCACCCAAAAGGCCTGTCTTGACACCCTGAATGACAGTTCCTGCTCAGATGCCTACGATCTGTTCAACTGGGCCAACCTTGATGTGGATCAGCCGAGTCTTGAGAGGGTGAATCGATACATCCAGGCTAACACAACTTCTGACATCACGGCCAGTGACTATATCCTCACTTGCGATGATACATCAATGAATGAATCAAAGACCTATAGCGTCGACGGGTGTCTTGTGATCAACTCCGAAGAGCGTTGCCAGCTGTTATATAGTCCACCGATTTGCATTATCATTGCTCTTGCAACTTTGCTAAAAGTTGTAGCAATGTTCCTGGCAGCAAGAATAGGTCGTCATCGATCGCCACCTTTGCTCACCGTGGGCGATGCGGTGGCGTCCTTTATGGAAAAGCCAGATTCCACCACAGAGGGAATGTGTTGGTTATCCAATGCTGATGTTCGTCGTGGAGCATGGAAAGTGCCTCAAAAGACGGAGGACCCTGCCGAGGAACCTCTGGGGGCGAGTCAGCCAGAGCCAAAGGTATACAAGCGGTTATCGGGACGCAAGCACTGGATGCAAGCCTCAAGCCTCGCGCGCTGGATAGCGACCCTCATCTTGTAAGAGCTCGCATTGAAATATTTCGTCTGACCCTATGTTAACCACAGAGAGTCTAGATGCTTAGCATGTATTGCCGTCGGAGCATTCCTGTTCGAGCAAGCCCTCGCGCCACGAGGAGCAGGTCCCTGGGTGACGACCGCCACGCTCCATGAAATGTGGAAAGAAGGCTTCTCCAGCACCCGGGGCTCGACTGCATTCGTCGACCTGAAAAGGACACTGCCCACTTTGAGCTCTGTGGTGGTAGCCAATATACCACAACTGATCATCACTGTCAGCTATTTTTTTTACAACAGCGTGCTGACCAGTATGCTCGCGACCGCCGAATACAGCTCCTATGGGGCAAGCCCGAATCCCCTTCGCGTGACATGGCCTATTAAAGACAGTATGCAGCGGTCAACATACTGGCTGTCCATGCCATATCAGTACGGAGTCCCCCTGCTGGTGGTCTATATGATCCTCCACTGGTTGATTTCCCAGAGTATATTTTATGTTCGGGTCATGGCGTATGACTGGATTGGCCGACCGATCTACCAGTTCTCGGTAAGTTCTCTGGGCTATAACCCTCTGGCTATCTTTATTTCTCTCCTTGTGGGTGCGTTTATGGTCTGTTTGTTGCTTGGACTGTCGTTCAGAAGGTTCAAGTCTGAAATACCGTTGGCGGGGGCTTGTAGTGCTGCGATTAGTGCTGCATGCCATGTGCCTAAAGACGAGCTTCTGGATCGTGCAGGTCAAGGGCCGGTGACGTGGGGTGAAACTGTGGCATCGCCATCCTGGGCGGGGGATTTTGGTGGAATTGAGGATGACAAGGGACATTGTAGTTTTACATCTTTGGAGACAGTGCGGCCTTCCTTGAGCAAGATGTATGCCTAGGGAGTACTAGGTAGAAATGGTCAATACGTCATAGGATTTCACATCTTACATCTACATGCATATTTTATGTACCTATATACTCTGTCCTTGACGACGGACCACACTACTTCGCTAACGAAAGTTGGCCACTCGTCGGATCTTCCGCCTGGTGGATCGTAAGGGGTCCAGGAAATGTCCGTTTCCTTTGTAGACGGTGAATTGCCTTTTCAAGTTAGTTTTGCCTTTTTGGGTTTAGTGCCCCAATAAAGGCCTTCGATACGAAGTATGTATAAACCGTCTCTAAAGTTCATTTGGTTCTAATTTTTGAACTAGGATATCAAGTTAGTTCTATTTCCTTTATCCACCGCTCTATAGGAGGTTGGATAGAGAGTCAACCAGAAATGGATTAAAAATAATCGTGATAAAAAGTACACCGTGTAAGGATTCAAAAGGATTGATTCTTTTTTTAATTCGATTAATATGTCCTTAGGTTCGGAATCGGTATCCGTGATAGCAATAAACCGCAATTCGTATCTAGCCTACTTCTCCTCGCACTCGCACTTGCATATAGTGCTCTTTTTAGCATAGAGACTGTTTTAGATTTAGAGTAATGTGATCTATTAGCAGAGAGATCCTATTAGAATAGAAGAAAAGTTTTAAAGCGAAACCGATTTCCGGAATATCACAGCCGATAGGCTTTTAAGATATTCCTCTTCCGAACAAAGAGTTTTCCTCCTACCTACACCAAACATTTGATACCGCTGACTATAGTGAGCACCCGATAATACATTCCGACCAATCCCAGTGGGCAACGCTATTCCATAGGAGTAGCTTATATATGTGGCTTTAGCAACACCAAGCGCATGGACAATAAGATGCGGCGATATTGTAGGTGTTGGCCTTGGGCAACGAGGCCAGGACTACGCCAAAGTCTCCGATCTCCGGCGTTTGGGTGACGGTCGCTACATTATCGTTTACATGGGGCTGTACGCGAGATACAAAATCGTACAGGAACTCCAAGTGAATGGTAGAATGTCCCCGAATGCGGAAGCTCATATCAACAAGATGTGGCTAGCAGATTCTAGGGACGAATACATCCTAAGCATGAATCGTACCATTACAGGATGGATGGATGGTTTCATTTACCCCGACCTCTTGCCGAAGCGATATGCAGGCTACAGCAACTATATATATCCGTGTATGTATATGTATGATGCTCCACTTCCTGAAACCGAACTTAGAGCCTCGTAGGCCTATCGTGGCCTAGTTGCCGCTCGCGTTGTTAGGCTGCCCTCATGGTGCGCGACTTTGAAACCGCTGTGACGCCTCGGCGAAGTCTAGCACGGCTGTGACCGTCCTAGCCCGAGAGACGCTGTCTGGCTTACCTCTTTCACCCTCATTTGAGCCTCCCAGCAGACTCGACACGCTGCTAAATGCGTCCCCAACCTTCATTCTTAATTCCCTTCTCATTTCTTGCAGCATTGGACAATCTGCTATGAAAGATCATCGACCCTTACACTGCTTTATTTGTTTGGGCTAGCGAGACCTGGACCCTGTAAGACGTGCTGGGAGATTTGGCTCTTACGGTCTAAACACATCAAAAGAGAACATCTAAAAAAATGGAGCCAAACAAGACAATTGCGTGCAATATTTGGGATGAAAAGTTCACAGAGATCATGCACTTTCAGCAACATGCCTGTGATTCACACTCGACTGTGACGGGACCTCTGTGGTGCGTAGTTTCTAGCTGATGAATGGCTGTGCTGGTGTTTAAATGTAGACTACTTAGGGCTTTGGATATCAATCATAGATCAAGTCCTTTTTGCTGCAATCTGACCATGTTTCCAATCTATAGTTGTTGGTACACATGACCTACGAGGTGGAGCTCACAGAGCTTAGTAAGCCAGGTAAGGTGACTATTTTTGTATATAAATTCGGACATAAGCGTCCGTCCGGGCCATACAACTAGCCTCTGCGAACTAGCAGGATCGCTCAACTCGATTTAGCATATAGATATAACCCTCTCAAAATTATATTATGTCGTACTAGTCTATACGCTTTCGCTCCACCCCGACACAAGCTTTCAAGAATAAGAGAATTCAACAGAGTAATGACACACATTTTCCTTGATTCTACTTATTTCGAAAGGCGACTGTGTACGCGCTTCAGGCACAATACTGTCTGATGGACATGATCTAGACGTAGAAGAGCGCGAAAGCAGCACCGAGTAGAGCCATGGCTCCCTTGGGAGCGCTCAACTGAGACGACGCAGCACCAGTCGAGGGCCGAGGGGAGGCGGAGGCACTGGTGGATGAATTGTCGGAAGAGGTGGAAGACGTGGTCATGGAAGAAGAGGTAGAAGAGGAGGAGGAGGAGGTGGTGGAGCCTGTGATGAAAAAAGGTGTATTAGTATAATCGCCTTGTAACATTGTGCGGAGGTTGCATCATGCCTGAGGAAGACAAAGGACTAGTCGACGACGTGGGTGTTGAAGATGCCGAGGATGTAAGGGTGGAGGTGACCGATGTATAAGTGGTCGCACTGGATGTCGCGGAAGAAGAAGTGGAGGAGGAGGAGGTGGTGGTGGTGGTGGAAGAAGACGTGGAAGAAGAGGAGGTGTAAGAAGAGGAGGATGTGGTACCATCATCCGAAGCGCCCTTCTCGACAGTAAAAATGTCACTGACGGCGAGCTGGCCAGCAGAATCAATTATCTGGATCTCGTAGTCATCTCTAAGCCATGACAGAATGGTATTAGTGTTGTTCTTTTCTGTTCACCCAACTCTATCTTCTACATACCCGTTGGAAATGCTAGGGTTAGGCTGGGTCGTGTATTCGCCGTCAGAGGTCTTGACGTTATCCGCCAATTTGGTCTGGAAGGAGCCATCCTGACTTCGAAGGATGATGCTGATTACTGAAGGATCACTAGAATCACTAGTGAATTTGATAGTTTTAGCAGTGGAGAGATCCCACACCGTGTCTGATAACGGAGTGGTGACGGTGATTGCAAAAGCCGATGAGAGGAGGCTCAGGGCGGTGATGGTGAATGAGTAACGCATTCTGATTGAATGGAATTATGGAATTACTAGAGAGTGTGCTGGGGGGAATGTCACACTATTTCCCAGGAAAAGACTATATATATTTGGTCGATAGACTGGGAACTAGATTGTTGAAAAATCTATATACAGAAATCAGTATCTTTCAGCTGAAGCCGAGCGCATTGAGAATACGAGATAGTCCAAGCCTTGCACAGAAGCAGAATATGATCTCTAACGTGAGCTGAGCCTCTGGTGGAGAGACTGAAAAAATCCAGGGGTCATTCTGGCGTCCACGTAGGGTAACAACGAACGGGCACTGCTAGGATCACCTCTCATCAGCGACCTGCCCTGTTGTGTTGGGGTCCATCAAAGTGAGCATTGCACCTTATCTTTCCAATAAAGTTTCCAAAACGCATTGACCTGTGGTCCTTGCTGATAAAGAATTAAACTTCTAACTAATGGTTACAATCATGTCAGCACTAGGTTAGCGTTGAGAACTGTACTAAATACGAAGTATACGAGGTTATCATAATTAGAAATCTATTGCCGTTATATTGTATTGTTACTTACAGCCGTGAATGAATACCGGTCATAACTGGTAACATTCACCACATGAGCTAGGTCTGTATGCCGTCTTACTGTGTTGTGCCCAATATTCAAAAGCGACTGTCGGAATTCTGCTCCAAGTACTGAGTCTCTAGTGACTCAACATATCTCCTATTTTCCGTTGTAATTCACGAGATGTAATATGAAAGCAATAGAACTAAATGTACGGCGTATCTCGTCTATAGTAAAACCACTGCAGAAACCATCGAAAAAGAACGTCAACAAACAAAATCGAAAACTAATGCGGGGTACAGGAAACATGATAAAAACAGAAAGAATGGCGGTCTAGAGAATTAGATGGAAATGTAGGATGTGGTCAATGCCGCCGTGACTATCAATGTCCTCATGTCCCACGACATACCGAATAAAGAAATCCCAGCGCCGGTGGAAGTGTTTGGACTTGCTGACGAGGCTGTCGATGTTCGGGTGCGATCTCCACAAATATTAGTGCTTCGGTTCAGACTTTCAGTAGGATAGTACACCCGAGGCCCTCCATCCGAGCTGAGGTCCACATTGATATTTCCGCTTGAATCAGTCAGAAACGTTTTGCAAGAAAGGAGCTCGGTCACATTTTGTCCGGACGAAAACCCTGTGCCGTCGGAGCCAAGCGTGAATTGGGTGGTGGCTTTGGTGGCTGGCTTAGCTCCCAGGTTGGACACCACGCTCACAACCTGGTCACCGGTAAATCCCTTGCGCATGGCCAAGATGTTTGTTGAGTTGTAGATTGGCAATGAGAGGTACGATAGATAATCGCTCCCTGACTTCGGGGCGACCACGGACTTTTCTCCGTCGCCGCTCGCATAAGATCGAATGCGATTCAACGACTGGACCAGCAAAGGTAGGGAGGTCGAGTTCATCGAGTATTTGGTAAGCCATAGGGCCTCCCGGTTGACAGGGTTGAACGCACCTGACAGGTGCTGTTCTTCCCCGTAGTAGACTGTATTGTTTTTATTAGTGTCTTTGGCTTTCGTTTCCATTTGTGAGGGCGCAACATACGGATGGGGATACCGTCAGCGAGCATGCTGATTGTGAGAATGTTGCGAGCCAGCTAATCAGGAGTGGCAAAGTCAATACGTGCTGACAAAAAGCTCGATGCACTCAACTTACCGATATGTCTGAAGTATACGAGCCAAAGCGAGGGACATCGTGATTTGATGTGAAAGTTCCCAAGGGGAGTACGTCCTCGCAATGTGTCCTGGTGTAGTCGATAGACTGTACGATCCTATTCAGGTCTCCATTGGTCGTGTTGAAGGCCTCTGAGAGGATATAATACCTAAAAGGTGTCAACAAGTCCTCGGTTCATTTTGATGAGCTACTCACAACGGATAATTTAAAAGTCCGCTTAGACTGGGCTGCAGAGAACAGTAACCGTAGGCGTCTCT